GGATTACAGCACCTTGTTTTTCCTATTATCTTTTTAGCATAAGAGAAACTATGTGATATTTAAGCTTGTGTGTCTCAGTTTACTTTACTTAGCATCATGGTTTCAAGGTGCATCTATTTTCCACAAATGACTTATGTTTATCCTTTGATATGGCAGAGTAATTCTACTCCATTGTATATAAATACCACATTTTAAAAACCTATCCATGTGTTGATGGACATATAAGCTGTTTCCAAGATTTAGTTATTATGAATTGTGCTGCTGTAAACATGAGTATGCATATATCACTGTGATATGATGTCTTCAACTCTTTTGGGAAGATACCTAGAAGGTGACTAGCTGGTCCACTGGAATTTCTATTTTTAGTTTTTTGAGGAATCGTCGTACTAATTTCCAAGTGGCTGTGTCAGTTTACAATCCCACCAACAATGGAGAAGGGTTCCTTTCTCGCCACAGTCTTGCCAGCATTTGTTGTTGGTTGATATCTTGATGGTAGCCATTCTTTCTGAGTGAGGTGAAATCTCAGTGATTTTTTAAATTTGCATTTCTTGCATAGCCAGTGATGTTGAACATTTTTTCATGTATTTATTGGCTGTTTGTATTTCATCTGAGAAGTGTGTATTCATTTCAGGTGCCCAGTTTTTAATTAGGTCTTTACATTTGGGGGTTCCTAATTTCTTTTGAGTTCTAGATATATTCTAGATATTAGTCTTTTGAGGAGTAGCTGGCAAATTTTTTTTCCCATTCTGTAGGTTTTCTCTTCACTCTGTTGGAGGTTTCCTTTGCTGTGCAGAAGCTTTTTAATTTGATGTGATCCCATTTGTTGCTTCTTGGTAGTATCAAAGATCTGCTTTTATAGATCTGCTTTTATAGTTGTTTTCTACATACACAGTCAGTCCTTGAAATTCATGGGGGATTGGTTCCAAAAACCTCCCTGGATACCAAAACCTGCAGCTGTTCAAGTCCTTTCTATAAAATAGCATAATATTTTCATATAACCTGTACACATGTTCTGTATCCTTTAACTCATCTCTAGATTACTTTATATAATATAAATGCCATATAAATAGTCATTATCCTACATTTTTATGGACTATGACATGAAAAATATCTGTGCATGTTCAATACAGACACAATTTTTTTAACAAATAATTTCAACCTGTGGTTGGTTGAACTTGTGCATGTGGAACCCAAACATATGGAGAACTGGATGCCTTTTACATATTTGCTTATGTTTTTCAAACATGTTAAACATAGTTATTTCATATTATTTATATTCTACAATTATAGATGATTGGAAATATATGAGAAGATTTGTCATGAGTTTCAGTCGAATTCTCCATTTACATCTACTGATTCTCACTCATGTTTTAGAGCTTCTGATTGTGAGTTCATGTTATTTGCCGTTTTGTCCTTGGGAAATATTTTGTGTCTTTGTCTGGGATGTGTTCATACAGAGAAGATTAATGTTTCTGCCATGTACCCGGAGGTGTTACCAACTTGAGACTACATAAATTTCTTGCTTCGGTTTTTTACATGGAGGTGCAGGAAGTGTTGTCCTTTGGAGGTCTGGATTTATGTGTGATCTCAGCCTGAGCTTCAGTGTGGTGTGAGCCCCAAGCATGACCCCTGTCCTCACATGTGGCTCCTGGAAGTCCAAGCCCTGGG